TTATAGTTTAATATGTTTTCTTTCAAATAGATTAATTTGTGACATTATAGTATAATTCTGCCCTTATATGCACTATGCGGCTTATTTTTAGGTATTTTTCTAACAAGAGAAATTATTTCAAAATTGTTTATCTGAATCTTGCCATTAAATATCAAAGAATGATGCTTCACTTCCTTCTTAATACATCAAATACATGTGAGAATTATATATGGATTCATACTTCATTCACCTTTTGACTTGAGGATTTCTACAAATATACCACCCTTACATTTCCTGACTTTGTTTTCTTATAAATTTCCACCTTTCATGGCCCATCTTATGTTCATCTCAGCTAAGAGCTAACAGCAATAAGTACTGTTTTCAGAAATGACAGCAGTGTTTTTCACACCAGACATTTGTACATTTATGCTAAATGTCGTACATAGATTCCACAGAAGAAAAAATCTGTAAGAGAAAACAAAAAGAGTAACTTATGAATAAAAAGAGTAACCTATGAATAGCTACTTTGGTTCAGGTTAAGGGAATCAGCACAAGACCCTTTGGATTCTAGTGGTAGTAAATGAGTGCTGTGGGTTGTGGTGATTAGTTGAGTGAGGTGGCAGAACAAACAATTGTTCTTGTTTGGATGGATACCCATTCAAAAAATGGATATGCTATATTTATTTAATCTATTTTAAAGTCAGACACAGAAAAACTAGGAGGCACTTTCGGCAACATGAAACCTTCTCTAAAGGGACACTAAATAATCATCGTTTCTATAAGGTTCTAATTCTAGAACTGTGTTCTCAAGGTTTATAAAACCACAGGGATGAAAGCTACCTTAAAAATACATTATATTCAGATTCCTTCATTTTTTACAGACGAGGAAAACCAAGGCCAAAAGAACAAGATTGATTTAGATAATGTAACTGGTCTTTATCACCTAGATTGAAATTTTCCTACTATTCCATAATTGAACATAAATAATAAACAGCAAATAAATATCAAAACATAAGTCTGCTACTTTTTTGAGTCCTTACAGTACTTACTGAAGTCCTATAACACATTGTGCTATCTCGTGTGTGTGTGTATATATATGAATGGGTGGTTATAGTTATTAGATATAGCAAGAAAAATACTGGACTAGTCATGTAAAGGAGGTCTTGGTTTAGTTCTTTTTCTGCTACACACATGCCTGGTAACCCTAGAAGAACTAGGGAGAATTACTTAACCTCTCTGGGTCTCAATTATTTCATCTAAATTGTGAAAATATTCAACCAGATTTGTATAATTTTCCACGGCTATAATTCTCAAGATTTTAAAAAATAACCCATATACCTTATTTATTTATTTATTTATTTATTTATTTATTTATTTTATGGAGAACACTGCATCCTAGATACCAAAATAGCCTATCCAAATGAAAAAAGTATATTGTCAAGGAAACCTCCTGAGTTAAGGTTTGAAAATGTATTTGCCCTTGGTTAATATACTGCAGCTCAGTACACAAAAGATGAAAAATGGCTTATCAACAAATACATTCATGAGAAAGGAAAAAAGAATAATCTCAAAATAGGTAATTTATTTCCAGATAACTTTTGTGAAAACAGATTTTTTTTCTATTATTCATTTATTTCAAAGATCTGAAATCGATGTTACCAAATACTGACAAAATTAAGAGATGCAGTCATTCATCTCCAGAGAATGGAATGTTAAGCCCATGTTATAACTGAGGTATCTGTCTAGAAACTCATTTTCTAAAGGATTAATTGCTATCCAAAAATGTACTGTAGCCAGTTACAAAGGAAGATTTCAAAAATACCAATACTCTTTATTACTGTTTATGGGTTATATAGGCTGTCACTGAATTCCTATCTCTTATTAAGTGAAGACAGTAGAAAGATACAATGAACAGAAATTTTGATTTTTAAAATAAAAAGTCAGCTCTTAAATGTGGCTGATTAGAGGAAATTCTAGCAATAAAATAAATTGAGGATTTCAGGCTATTAGATTTTACTTATCTAATCTCTGAGTGATCCCTATTATCATTTGTCATTATTACTAAATATCTATATGTTTGATGATGCTATTTGTTCAAGGATTGACTTTCAAATTTGAATAAACAGAGCGATCAAAACCGTGAGTTTTTCTCTAAGTTCATTAGGGATGCTAATATGGAAGCAATCACTTATAATTATATCATTGAATCTTTTGTCCTTTAGATTGTAAAAAATGAAAACAAACAAGGTGATGTTAGTCCCTCTCATTATAAGTTTGCATAGTATTGCAGTAAACATGTGAAAGTTGGCTATCTTCAATGGCACAGTCGAGGTTTTCTACTAAATTACTTCCTCAAAACATTGAAGAAAACAGTGCCTCTGAATGGGTTATTTGTTCTCTTTCAATAGAATATTTTCTCTTATTTTTTCAAGCCACCATTTTACAAAAAAAAAAAAAAAAAAAAAAAAAAAAAAAAACCTCTATAAATAATTATTTTTAGTTCTAACATTAACTGAAACCCTTCTTGATATTGAATAGGGAAACAAATTATCTTTAAAGCTTCCTGGAACTCATTTCAGGTTTACTACCCAAAGCTGACCATCAAAATAACTGGTGGAGAACACCCTGTTAGTATCAGAAACCATCAGGCAAACTGCCCAGCTCTTTCATTTTTCTTGACAAATACCTAGTGGTCTCTATCTGGGAACTTTATTACCTCTTTCAATTTGCTTTCAGTGCCATCACGTCACTATTGCAAGGTATTTTTGTTTCAGAATTTAGCTGGCAGCAGAATAATTAAAGAGAGCAATGTGAAAACAAAACAAAACAAACGGTATAGTATTTAAAAAACTGTCGTTACTTTTCAAATTGTAGTCTTTAATAAAGGTGTGAGGGACTTTTTTTTCTGACCTTATAATTCAGGTTTCTCACCATTGTGTTGTCTTCATTTCATTTTTTTCTTACTGCTTTTTTAGTCAAGGTCAATGTTTTTAAAAGCGTGAGTAGTTTAGCATGTCTTTGAAGTTAATTCACAATTATTAATATGTAGTTACTCAGAAGATAAAGAAAGAAATCAGTCCTCACATTTTACCTGCTCACTTTCTGGTCCTTATAAATAAGAGTTGAGAAAGAAAAGTAATACAGATTTCTCAAAAATGAATGACATATATTTCCTATTGAATATATCTTTAAAATTATTTGGTATCTTCTTCAAACTCGATTTTATTATTTTCCAGATCCTTCTATTATTTCTAATATTAATTTATACTGCTTTTAAATATTTCCACAGAAAATTTATTAACATTTCCAATATTTAAATCCCTGTATTGTCAGGATGATTCTGATTTTGAAATATAAATATCTGAATATTTATTTCAATCTGACTTTTTGCATTAATGTTTACTTATTAAAAATTAAAATCTCATTGTATTATTATAAACATTGTTATCCTATTGTTTGTGAAGCCAGTTTTTACTGAAAACAGTTCTATTCGTTTTTATAAAAATGATTTTTTTACTCCATTCCATTAACAACAAGGAAAAAACTTTTAGACCACCAATCACACATCTATTTTCTAACTAACACAAATAAGTTTCAAAAGTAGCCAGTGCTATTGATTGAAAATATATTTCAATAAAGGTTACCTGCACATCAAGCAGATAAAACAGTAAATGAAAAATACACGTTTTCAGACACTTATTTTCCTTACTCTTTCAATGTTTGAATTACGAAAAAAAAAATTCTGCTCAACTTTGTTACAGTTAATATGGTATCTGCCTTTTCTTCTGCCAAATCCTATTTAAATTTTTAATGAGGCAAATGTTTTATTTGACTAAATTAATTTTGCATTCATTATCTTCTGTTTAAATACATTATCACAATAAAAAATAAGGTAGACTAGTTTCTTAGTTTAGGCTGCTATATCAAAATACCTCAGGTTAAGTAATTTATAAATAACAGAAATTTATTGCTCACAGTTCTGGAGACCAGCAAATCCAAGATCAAAGGCCCAGCAGATTAGGTGTCTTGTGAGAGCTCTTCTTCTACTTCAGAGATGGTGCCTTCTTGCTGAGTCCTCGAATGGCAGAAGGGGCAGGCAAGCTCCCTTGGGCCTGTTTTATAAGGGCACTAATCCTATCCACGAGGACAGAGCCCTCATGACCTAATCATCTTCTGAAGGCCCCACCTCTTAATACCACCAGAATGGGAATTTGGTTTCAACCTATGCAGTGGGGTAGGAGGGGACACAAACGTTCAGACCTTCCCAATTAGCAACAAATAGTCTCATGTAAAATGAGTGCTTTCTGGATCAAGAGGCTAAATGTTTAATTAGATTAATAGAATCAAACAGAAAATTCCATTTGTCTGGGATCTTTCAATCAAAATCTTCATTAATAGGAGTGATGATTCCAATATATTAACAATAATTGGTATTTGTATTACTTTGTACCAACGAAAAATTTTAATTTACTCAGGTTTACAGAGGAAAAGGAGAAAAGTGCTTTAATATTTGGTGCCTCATAGAGAGTAAAAATTTATAGCATAGGTCAGTATGTTAGAGTCCTAATGCAAAATCTTTGATTTGTATGTAGTGTCCAAAGGTTTTTCTTGCAGCAGTTCATTTGTCATGAGTACACCTGATATGTCATCCCAAGTTGTAACAATACCCAAGGTGGCAGTTATCTCAGAGAAGTCCAAAATAAATATTCTGTTACAAAATACTACTTAAAAAACAAGTTTCATTTACACTGAAGTCATAAAAATGTTGCAAAGTTTTTACATGTAAATATTTGTTCATTTTCATATTATATTTCAATTAATATAATAACTTCCCACATTCTACACTTTCAAAACTGGAATATAAGATTGACATCTACAACACAGTGATCTCCAAGGAAAATAATGCCCTACTGTCAGCAAAGATACAAAAATGATATCCGTGTTTAATAAGTTTCATCAAAGATAATTTCATTGCCATTTGAACTGAACTAAAAAACCAAAATAAATACTGATGACCTTACCTTCTTGAACTGCTTGAAAAGGGTTGTTGCCATCAACAAACGTCACTGAAAATGTGATTTTCTCAGTCTGTAAGATCTCCTCATTCTGGTTAAGGTCACCAACTGCTGTGCGAAACACCTCATCATCCTTTTTGGCAGATTCATCAAAAATTGCTCCTAGAAAAAAGTGAGTTTTGCCATTAAATAATAACATAAATATTCTGTCATGCCCTCTGGAAATATGACATGGAGACTTATGTATTTAAAAAACATATACATTCACTTAAAGCATGCACTTTACTTATTAATGAAACACATTATACTGGAATCAGTATAATAGCTGAGAAGGAATATAATTACTTCTTTGAAATGGAATGATAAAGAGTACCTCAAAGTGTTATTGCAGGGAGATCATGGGGAAGAAAATGTAATAAGTATCAAAAGCTTCTACATGACAAAGTATCCAATACATTGGATGTCTTATATCATGAAACCTTTAAGGAATTCATAGCTGGAAGATTTCTTTTCTGAATAAAAGGAAATAAGCTCAGAAAACTTCCTGAGGTCAATTCATAGAACATATAGGAATCAAATCATTCTGGTGATCTTAATTTATTTTTCATTTCCTTCCTTTCTTCCCCCCGCCCTCCTTTTTTTTTTTGAACACGGGTATCATTATCTTTTATAGTAGTAAAGTCAATAATATTTATAGAAAATGTAAAGACATTCAAATCTCTGTGCAGAGGGAATGGAGAAATATTTCTCAAGGAACTAATGTAAGTCCTAATGTAAGTCCTAATTATAGCATTTTTTATACATGTGTAACTATGATGATGATAAACATTGTGCTAAATTTTATTGAGTATTTGGTTGGTAATGGCATATTTGGTAAACACATTGATTCTAAGGGCAAACTGATTTTAAATACTGACTCTGTCACTTGTTAAGTATGCGACCTTGACCAACATGCTCAAATTCTAAACCTCACATTTGTCTAACCTCACATTGTATGTATTAAACACATTGGTCTAAACCTCACATTGTGTGTATTAAATGATAATATACAGTGTGTATTATTATATACACAGTGTGTATTATAAAGCCAGTGTGAAGCTGGCTTTATCTTTTCACTGCTCTTTTTGTCTGGTTGGTTGCTTGGTTTATTTTGAGACGGAGTCTTGCTCTGTCACCTAGGCTACAGTGCAATGGCGCGATCTCAGCTTACTGCAAACCTCCGCCTCCTGGGTTCAAGCCTTTCTCCTGCCTCAGCTTCCTGAGTAGCTGGGATTATAGATGCACACCACCACACTCGGCTAATTTCTTTTTGTATTTTTAGTAGAGACGGGATTTCACCATTTTGGCCACGCTGGTCTCGCGTTCCTGACCTGTGGTGATCCACCCGCCTCAGCCTCCAAAAGTACTGGGATTAAAGGAGTGAGCCACGGTGCCTGGCCATCGCTGCTCTTTCATATTGGCATGGATTGTATCAGTCTCCTCAAACCATTGCCTTGTTTCCTATATATTTTGAATACCTGTCCATGGCATGAGAGAAAATAATGAA